TTACAAAACAGAAAGACTAACGCAACCACAGTAAAGTATGAAAAACTCGATGAATTATATTCAACTCAACTCACTTTCCCAAGCTGAATCATGACAAAGCATTTTATTTTGACCCTCCGTAATAGATTCTTTGGAGAAAAAGAGATTTGATGCACTGATTTGCACAATGCCCACAGCATATGGAAAATTTAAGTTTCATTATCAGTACAAGGATAATCTTTGTTCACAGTAATCCTGATGTATTATTTTATGTTTCATCATTTCAAGAAGATGACTTAAGAAAGTTTACAACTTCATACAAGGTTTTTTTTAAGTGAGGAAATCAGTGTGGAGGGAAAATGTGGGCAGGAAAAATTAGAGGAAGCCGTGGATGTGGCCGGTAAACAAAACACATGCCACTAAGATACTGTATCCTTGGTAAGGGAAGACCACAAATTTGGCTCTGAGCCTTCCAGCAGCCAAGGAAAAAAATGAGAAACATGACCAGTTCCATGATTCAAAGTGTCCACATGATAATTCTTCATGGAACTGAAGTCTGAAACAGTTTCTCCATAAGTCCTCCAACACTCTTGATCACATACTTCCTCTTGGAATTAAATTGCTGTAATATCCTGTTTCATTTTGCGCACATTGCCTATAACATGTATCTTAAATAGGTAATAATGTATGTGCAGTATTTGCTTAAAAAGAAATAAAAGTAATATTTGTATTCAATACACTGTGCACAAAGCATCAGGGTCCAGGGAGTGTCTTGTGTGTCAGATATCAAGGACAACACACCACAGTCACTGTTTGAAGACTTCACAAATAAGACAAGAGGTTTGCCTTGATGTTTTCTTGGACTGAAAATCTATAGCTGTGGCTTTTCCTGACAGCATCACACAACATGCATCTAAACCATAAAGTATGTTTGGGTAACATATGACAGATTCAAAACAATAAATCGCCCTTGAATCTTTTGAAGACAAGTTGACAATAAAAAACAATAACGGTACGAATATTTAATATCTGGGCCCCTCAGCAGTAGCAGTAGCAGCCGCACCATTTACAAAGTACCTACCATATGTCAGATGTTATTCTACATCCTCTGCATATATTGCCTTCCATCTTCAAAATAGTTTAAGAATGTTAGTTTCAACTACATTTTTACCAATGAGGAAAAAATGAAGATCATTAAGCGGCACATATATTTATTTTTAAATTGTATATTATAAATTTTCCAACATACACAAAAGTTGAGAGTATACTACAATAGATTCCCAACATAACCCACTACGAAGATTCAGCAGTTATCAAGATTTCTCCACATTTTCTTTATCTATCCCTTTTTTCTTTTGTTGAAGTATTTTACAGTAAACTCCAGTCATATCATTTCACTCCTATATCAGTGTATATTTCTTAAAAAATAAGGACAGATTCTTCTATAATCACAGTGCCAAAACCAAACCCAACAAAGTCAACAATAATTTCTTGGAATCATCTAATAATTTCTTTGGAGTGACTAATCGAATATCCCCAATTTTCTCCAAAAGTCTTTTGATAGTTAGGTTGTTTGGATTAGGATCCAAAGAAGATCCACAGAAACATTTAGTCATTTCTCTGAGGTTCTCTTCTTTTCCTATCTCTGATTGCTGTAGAAGCAAATGTCTTGTTCATTGAGACGTAACAAATATCACAAAATTCACACTTTTAAAGTGTACAATTTTAATATGGTCACAAAGCTATGCAACTACCACCACTATGTAATTTGGTGTAATTTTTGTCACACTAAAAAGAAACCTGCACCCACTCGCAGTCACTCCCCATTCTTGTTCCCAGTCTCTGGCAAGCATTAATCTACTTTCTGTCTCTGTGGATTTTTCTATTCCAGACATTTCATATAAATGGAATCATAAAAGCAAACATATTTTGAATGTCCATCAGGTGAGATATCATAGACAGATATAGGTTAGGTACCAAATACATATGTATATACATATGACATGGTCCATGTAGATAACAAATAAGATTAACATTCACTCAATAAACACCAATAAATTAAATTTGTAATAAGAACAGTACATTATGGATGCTTTAGGCTCATGGTTTTTATCTTTTCCTTCACAAACACACATTAGAGAAATAATATTCACGTGTGAGACACACTATTGGGTTACCCATATGTGACAAAAAGTCTAGTTTTCTGCTGGCCACAATTCTCACAATGACTAACATCTAACCACAAACAATCGTTCACCACAGTGGGGACATGGGTAGGCGAGGCTCAGAGCTGTGCTGCGGCTCCCTGGCTTTCTCTCCCTCTCAGGAAAGAACACCAGAATGCAAGACTGAGACACTGAGACAACCCGTATTTTTTCTTTTTAGTATATCATTCACCCACTTGAGCACTTTGTGAGGAAAGGAGTCGAGCGTAGTGGTTAGAGAGCAGCAGTAGCGAGTACAGACCCCAGAACATGCGTATCTTCCAGAATCAGACCACCTATGCCACTTTACCACCAAACAGCTGTGTGACCCTGAGCATGACTTAATCTCTAAGTCTCCGTTCTCCCTAAATGTCAAATGTAGATACTAATAAGCATGACTGCTTTGAAGATTAAACACAAAGCTCTTATCAAGACAATCTAGGGGCTGTGCAGGTGGCGCAGCGGTTAAGTTCGCACGTTCCGCTCCTGCAGCCTGGGGTTCACGGGTTCGGATCCTGGGTGCAGACCTATGCACTGCTCATTAAGCCTGCTGTGGCAGGCATCCCACATATAAAGCAGAGGAAGATAAGGATGGATATTAGCTCAGGGCCAGCCTTCCTTAGCAAAAGGAGGAGGATTGGCAGCAGATGTTAGCTCAGGGCTAATCTTCCTCAAAGAAAAAGATTCTGCTTACTAAATGCTAGCTACTGGCAACAACAATAGTTACTATTATCATTTCACTATTATTAACAAATCCCCCATGACCCCTCAGAACTGATGGAAGTCACTCTAGTTTGGAGCTTTCAGCACATATTGAAGTGACTGCTAGAGAGGAACAGAGGAAGTGGCTCAATTCTCCATGTCCCGGCGTATTAACATTTAAGGGCAGTAACCACCTGAACTTTGACGATGTGAAAATCAGACACATAATTACATAACCAATTGCCCTCCCCCCCCCCCGCCCCCGCCCCGGCCTCAAGATCCCCTAAGCCCCACCATCAACCCTATGAAGCTACTTTCAGTCTGAGAGAAGAGAACAGCTCTTAGAAATCTTCCATCATTAGCAGTCTTCCCCTTCTGGCATGTTGGAGATGCAAAAATAAATAATTCAATAAAGCCAGAAAGGAGTAGGACAGATTGAGCTGCCAGTGAATCCCTCAAGTCTGAGGAAGGAAGGAAGTTGAGCCCTTGCTCACGGTGCTAACCAAGGGCCACCGAGGCAGGCTCCCTCTGCCTGTGCTCTCTGCGCCATCCTATCTGGCATCTGTAGAATTTTCCACCCACCTTGGACCTCCCTCACTTGTGTGATTACCTTTCCTTTACATTAATTACCCCTATTATCTTTGTTCAGTGGCATCATGAAATCACTGTTCCTTGCAGTAAGAGGTTTAGATAATACTCATGAAAAACTCTCTCAAGGAAGGGGATTATAAATGTCAGCAAAATTTTATTCTTTTGCATCGTGGTCACATAAGCAGTAAGCTTCCTCAGTTTCTATCTACTCTTGGTGCTCAAACATAGCATCGAAAAGAGAGGGTGATTTTACCCCCAGTTCATTACTGTTTCAGGTTAGGGGCTAAGGTAAAACAACACACAATGAGCACTTCAGAAGCTCCATGTGAACCACAGGCGTCTATTTCTTAGGGAACACGGACCCTTTACCTACGGGGAACAGAAAACCCCTCTCCTCCCCTGACACATTTTGTCCCCACAGTAGAGACCAAGCGAGCTGTGCCAGGAGGAATTAGCACACTTCTCAGAAATTTTCAGGGTGGCAGGGGTGGGAGGGACACAACTACCCTGAAGCTCATGGCACAAAATAAAAGAGCTAATACACGGAGCCCACTCTCAACTTTATGACCTTTGTAAGGTTTAAAACAACTATAGCCCGTACCTCGACCTGGAAGGAAATGCAAAAAAAACGACTACCAATTACAACGGAATACTACGTATCATTGAAAAGAATGAGGCAGAGACATATACACCAGTGAATGGATGCAGTCAAGAATGTGTGCATTCATATCTTTTTTGTTTTTTAAAGAAAAACATTTTTTAAAAAACTGGAAGGAGATACTTCAAAGTCTTACCAGTGGATCTTTAAGATACAGAATTTGGAGGGTACTGAGAATTTCACTTTTTATTTTATAACCCTCTGAAGAGCATGAATTTGTTATAATGAGTTAACAATAAAATGAAACAACTGGAGAACTGCTAAAATATGAAATAATGTTTCATCCGCCCAAGCAAGGTTTCTATAGAAACAATTCACCTTCTTGCATGAATATACATCAATATACACACATAGGAAAGCCAACTAAACTAGAATAAACTGCTACGTAGGGTAAACAGAAAACCAGATCATCTGAATTTGGTTTGCCCACTTGAACAGACTGCACAGAAAATCTAACTACCAAATATTTGAAAATAAAGGAGAGAATTAAAATAATTCAAGAATAAAAGATGTCATTTTCTAACTTTTCTTTTGCTCATAAGAAACAGAAAGGCAAAGAGACAAGCCAGCCCTGATGGTCTAGCGGTTCAACTTCGGCGTTCCCACTGCTTTGGCAGCCCAGGTTCGCTTCCCAGGCACAGAACCACACCACCCGTCTGTCAGTCGCCATGCAGTGGTGGTGGCTCACATAGAAGAACTAGAAGAACTTACAACTAGGACATACAACCATGCACTGGGGCTTTGGGGAGGAAAAAAATACAAAACGGAAATCCATGTGTCACTTAGAAAGAGTCTAATATATTTAAGGGAGGACACCCGGTTCTCTTCTTACAGTATTTCCTGATGAAAGCATCACTGTTTCTTACCTGATCACAAATCAGCTCCCACTTTTTCTCGTTGTCATACTGCCGCAGTAACCTGGCTTTGTCAGGGGGTAGGTTCATAGCATTCTGTGGAAAAAAAAAAAGGGAAGAGAGATGTCACATTCCACAACAGGCTGCTATCGCCAACTCATAAGCAGACCAAAGAATACTACTGTGGTTCTCTTATGACTTGTTTCCAATTTTCAGCATCTGATTAAACTGAAACACCCTACAAAAGTCATTTAAACATCAAATTGGTTTAATGGGGGAGAGAAACTAAAGTCCTACATTGGAGCATTGAGGTGGCCTGCTCTGAACTGCAGGCTTGCATTTTGGCAGAGGTAATGCATTATTTCTTCATTTAATGGCGGGCTCCCATTCTACTCAACAAAAGGTCAAAAGAAGTTGCTTAAAAAGCATCGCCCCAATTTCTTTTTAGAGCACTGCAGCCCCACCAGACACAGAACAGAAAACACCAAAAGAAAACCCAACGACCAGACCGTTGATAGACATCATCAACTTTTACTCACTCTGATAGACAACTAAGAGTAAAAGAACAAAAATTTTTCTAAAAACACTGAAAACAGTGCAAATGTTTATTGTCCCTCTCTGAGATGACAGCACTCCTTCAAGATATATGCTAACATGAGCGGCCACAAGTCTCAGTTTAGCTCTATAGGTTTATGAAGTTGGGTTTGCAGTGAGAAGCTGACCATAAGCTAAAAGAGATTTCTAGACATCAGTGCTCATATAAACCTACCTCTGTCAATACACACATCTTCTGCAGTGCTGGCCACGGCTTTTCCCAGGTATGTTCAAATGTTATTAGGCTAACGCCCCAAATAATCAATCATATACATTTTCAACATACTCAGCTTGGGTATGAGGTAAGATCTTTGGCCACAGAACATGGCAGAGTGTGAGAGCCCCAGAAGGAATTCCTATCTGTTCCCTTGGCCTCCCTGAAGTCCCCATGCTCTAAACAATTATATTAAGTAGTCAATAAATGTCTTCCATCTAGTAACTGTCCTGTCCATCCCCTTGTGGCAACACTGTAAATCATACCTATCCTAAAATAAACAACACAGCTCCTTGCCTGGGTCAATATTCGAGCAGGAAAATGCAAAGGTCTTGAACTTTTAATGCTCAAGCCCCTAGCTCTCCAGATGACTTGACTTATAGAGAATCAACTCCCCTTGCCACAGTTACTGTCTCATGACATCCAGTGAAATAAAACTAATAGAGGCAAGGGTGGGTGAGTTATTCTGACTTAATGTCAGAGAATTAACTTTTGATGATTTTGACAGACATAACTCAAGCATTTTCCCTTAAACTCAACTGAGCATCCAGACTGGTATGCCTAAGTAGGTGGTAGATATATACCACTTACAATTTTAATCTAACCCATTTCAATCCAACAACCTGTCTTCAGAATTTTAAATTTTTTAATTATCCCCCAAAGCTGACAACATAATTAGAAGAGTTTTGGACTTCAGAGTTTTCAATGGTACTGCCAAGGCTTCCCCACAGAAATATCTAAAATAGGAAAACTATTTTCCTATGGCCTATCTGAACTAGAATGGAAAATATCTAGTATTTATTTGTTATCACAACTTTACAAGGTTAAACAACCACTCTGGGATATGGCAAAGGAGAATTACATATATATCTTTCTGAGGGAGCCCATGTTATTGACCATTAAATAACCAGCCCATCATCACTTATCTGTTCCCTAGAGATGGACTGTTTCCTCTTACACTGATTTTGACCCTCATGTTAGCGCCCCTGGGTATGATTATGCATTAAATGAGAACCATAAGATGACAAGGTAAGTTAAATGAGTTTTTCTCTGTCTTTATTAATTTCTTGTGATATAGAGAGGATAAGAAAAGGGACACCCGAACTCCTACAAGATGCCACTAGTATGAGGCACTTTGAATACATAATCTCATGTAATCTTCGTAACAAGCCAATAGGACAGATGCAACTTTCCCCATTTTACATATAGGGAAAAAGACCTAGGAGAACTCGGTTAACTCGCTCAAGGTTGGACAGTTTTATAGGAGCAAAAACAGGACCTAAACTTAGTCTGTTAGCCTCCCAAGGACAAACCCTGAAAATGCCACAGAGTTTTTTTTTTTTTTCCTGGCAGCAAGGCAAAATGGCAGATAACTGACTTTCCATTAGTACTCTACTAGACGCTCACATGGAAGCAGTTTGCAAACAGTGCCACAGGAATTAGATGCAAGCCCTGCTCCCACTGCAAAGAGAAAGCCAAGATGCTCCTTTCTAGATCAGTTTTTGTTTTAACGAAGCAGTCTTTCGTTCAACAAATGTTTATGAAGCACCACGCTTGTACAAGCACTGTGCACCACGGCACAGTGAGGAGCCAAAGAGATGTGATCCCGTGGACAATCGTATTACGGTGGGGCAGACGCAGATGAAACAAACTAATTTTCTAAAATTCTAAGTCTTGATAGAGATTATCAGAGGGCAACTTTAAATTGGATGGTCTAGAAAGACCTCTTAGGAAAAAGCAACCATTAAGATGAGTCCTGAAAATGAGTGAGCCAGGTAAAGAGTGGATGACAGTATTCCAGGCAGAGGGAACAGGGGAAAGATGCTAAGGCAGAAAACAGCTTGGCACATCAAAAAGCTGCAAGACAGTCAGCACAGCTGGAGAAAAAGTAAAAGAGAGGGAATGACAGACTGATAAAGTTGGAGAGGTGAGGCAGGGCTATATCATGCCCAGTCACGTAGGCTAGAGTAAATACTTTTTATTTTATCTAAAGTGCAGTGGGAAGCCATTGGTGGCTTGTAAGCATGAGATGACATAATCAAGTTATGTTTTACAAAGATTACTGCAGGTGTTATGAGGAGAACCGATGAGAAAGAGCCGAAGTAGAAGCAGGGAGGCTGGTCAGAAGCCCAGGGCAGTAGTTCAAATGAATGATGGTGGCTCGGACAAGGCTGATGGCACATCAAATGAAGAAAGGTGGATAGACGTCAGAAATATTAAGTGAAATGGATTAGACTTAAGGGCTGAGGGAGGATGTCAAGAATTAAATACTTTGCTTCAATCTTGAGTCACTAGGTGAATGGTGATCCATTTAATGAGAAGGGCACTTTGCAAAAGGCGGTGCAGATCTGGAGGAGGTGGTGAACAACAAGATTTCTAAATGGCCCTGTTTAGGTCTGAGATACCTATGAGACATCCAAGAGAATAGTCAAGCAGGCAGAGAGAGACACGATTCTGGAGGTTAGAAGAAAGGTCTGCATTTTCCTGAACAAAAAGAGTCTTAAGAAGTCTTCTTGAGCCTGATGACTAGTTATTGTCAGGAAAAGTCATTCAACATCAATACATCAAAACTGAAGCTGCACTTGGTAATCATTCACCAAGCATCTAAAATAACCCCTTCCACGGGACAAGCCTCTGAGCTACTCAGGCATATATTGCACAGCTTAATAATTCTACAGGGATCATGAGGAAGCAGCTCTATTTAAAATCAGACACTCCACAGAGGCCTGGCTAAAGTTTAGGGATGTTGTGATTAGCTGGTAATAACTGCCCTTAAACATTTTTAGCATGAACTCATTCCTTTTGTGCTGTTTAGGGCAGGACTCTGGAGTCCAAGTTAAATGTTTGTGCAGGTAATTCATGAGAGTCCAAACTATTTTCTGAGGAAAACACTGGCTCTATCTCTAGGTCCCCTTGCTGCCTCTATAAATAAAGGACTGTTCCTTTATTTGGCTGAAAATGTAAATCAACCTCCAAGTTTTCCTAATACAGTGACAACTCTGCCTCATCCATACTTTGTAATATGGATTACAAATTCCTTCCTTTCATCCATTGATCCATCCAGTATTTACTGGCCTTTGACTACATGCCAGAATATTCACACTGTAGGCACAGGAGAGAATTTAATCATGAAGTCGTTGCACGCAAGTACATGCCAAAAGTCCATTGAAGACATATGACATTTGAGTTGAAAAGTTTAGCGGATGTTAATTATTTCTAGATTGTACGAATTCCTAGCTAAAATAAATTACACGACCTGAGGGCATTCTTTCTGTAAGGAATGTCCCCTTCCTTCCTTTCAACTTGACAAACTTTTTTTTTTTTTTTTGCTGAGGAAGATTCCCCCTGAGCTAACATCTGCTGCCAATCTTCCTCTTTTTGTATGGAAGTCACCGCCACAACATGGCCACTGACATGGGTTCCCACACCTGGGGAACCAAACCTGGACTGCCAAAGTGGAGGGTGCTGAACTTAACCACTAGGTCACCAGGGCTGGCCCATGGCAAACTTTCAAGAATCAGTTCAAACATCATTTATCATTAGAACCTTCTCCCAACTACTCCAGGAAGACATACCCTTTTCACTGGGCTCCAATGGTACTGGATACGTGTCTCCATTATAGCAACTTGCACACTATATTCTAATAATCTGGTTGCCTACCTAATTCCCCACTGGACTAAGTACTTCAAGGACAATTTTTTTTGTTAATTCCCAATGTCTGGCACAGTATGTGGCAAACAGTAGGCACTAAGCAGGCTGTTGACTAAATGAAAAGCAAACTAACTCAGTCATACTGTTCAGTCTGAGAATATCTTCACTGATTTAGCATTTATGCTTCAGCTATTAACAAAGTCTATACCCAAAGAGCATCTCTGTTTATTACAAAACCTCCATCAATGATAATATCTATTACTCATTAGTAATTATCTTGCAAACAGGAATTCATGAGGGAAAAAAATCTTCAAGTTCTATTCTAGCAACATTTCTGTGAAAAGAAAAATGATGTTTTAGGCATTCTTCTGCCAAATATAATAAATCATGAAATCTGAACTTTATTTTGCTTTGTTTTCATTGCCAGTAAATTCAAATCAGTGTCAACTATAACAATTAATCTACCCCAGGTGTAGTTACATTTATGGTCTATATTCTTAACTCTACTATTTTACATTGTTTTTGCATGTGCTTTCCATCTCAGAATCTTTTGAAAATAGGAGGTAGATAACAATAGAATACTCAAGTTTCTGGGTACTTCATGGAGAAATTAATTATGGTTAAAAAGAGTCTACGA